ATTACTAAAACCTATATGCGATTCGCCGTTAAAATACATACATCGTAATAACGGGGAAGATATTACCGTAAATTTCTTAGATTTGGATGATAATTGTGAGTTTGTATGCTGAATTTTCCAGATCAGTCCTTGACTCAGATCCCGAATAATACTGTACCTTAATAAAATACAGCTGTAATGCATACGTGATACAATAAACACGTTTTCGATCCTCGTTAAAGTATATATGATGTAATGAGTGATACACCGCAAATTATCTGTAATTCTGTGTGACTATTTGTGCGACAAATTAATTTCACACATAAGAAATCGATCCCCAAAAAATATTTTGAATTTTTTTCTAGCAATGTTTAGCGGAATATCATTTATTGGGTATATGCTCTGGAGCTACAGGTTATTTCTACTGCCCTCCCACCAGAGCATATTTATATAATGTTACTAGGCCTTTATTACTGAGCGGTCGAGCAAGTGAAATAAAAAAAGTTCATATATGCATATTCCTCAACGCCTTTGCAATGTTGAGATCTACAATGCACATTCCGCATGTCTTACTCTTAAACATAAAATTTTGGCGTAAAAGTGTCTTGCATATTTTTCCTATCTCTCTCCCAACATTAATGCGAGTTAGAGAGGACATGAACGGGAAATGGAGGCATTTAAAAGAGTAGTATAGGTAATTTTGGATATTTGTTGCTTCACTTTTAACACGAAATTATTATTAACTAAACTCTGCTAATATGATGAACTTAGTTGCGAAAATCGAAACTCTTTTTTTGGATGGAACCCTTAACACTATATGTTCCGCTACCGTTATTTATCTAACAAGAAAAGGGACGACTTTACTACCGCTTCTTCAGGTTAAAGACCTAACAGAACGTGCGGTGAATTCCTTATTATCAAAAATAACTAATTTTGAACGAAGAATAAAAGTATTAGAAGTTTTACCGCAGGTCAATACATTTTATATTTAAACTTTTTTTGTGCATCTAGTGATGAAATTTATAGCAAATGCTAGAGTTTGTTATTGCTGGTTAGGGACGCCAGCCCGGAAGAGCGACATTGTCAGGAAATATTTTCTCACGATGTCGAGGGTTTCTGCTACCCCCTAACTATATTAGCAGAACAGAATACTCTAAAAAGGATAGAATCTGAACGCGCACTTACAAATGTGGGATATGGGATTTTTTAACTTTGTGGCCACAAATCTAACTTATTGCATTTGCTATAGATGGAAATTGGGTATAAAAGTGTCATAGGATTAGATGCTGTAAAGGGATTGAAAACTGAGCAAGAGCCCAACCTTGATCGTACGAGAGAGGAAATAGAACGAAATATAAGGACATTACAATCTAAACTTAGCTCACCGATGACTGACGCAGATATATCCCTTTACGGTGCTCTCAAAACTAATCTAAGAAGTATAAATATTTCAGACCTTACGTAGCGCGATCCGGAGGCAAATATGATTATTTCTGACGATTCGACATTAGTAAAAAATTTAGGAGTGAGGCAGAAGCAACTTTTCTTAGAACCTTGCGAAAATATGAAATGTGTTCTTCCCACCTCAGTCACTTCAAGATGCAATGAATTTGTAAATAATTTTAATAATAATAATGAAGTTCTGGAAGTGCTCAGAAATATTGTACATAATAAGAAATGGAAGGAGGATGATGATAAACTGATAGAACGAACAGATCGTATATTGAGCGTCCTGTAGATAGTTTGAATATCTCTTATTTTTTTTGGTTTCAAAAATAACCTTTTACCTATTCTTATTGTAAAGGGGAGATATGGAAAAATCCAGCATTTATAACTAGCGAAATGCACAGTTCTCAAAGTGAGGGAACTTTTTTAACAGATGTTATCGTACCTTTACTTCGTGCCGGTTTAGGGGATCTTCCAAATGGTACTGTTTGTCTTAGCACTGCGAAACGTCAAAGCATAGCAAGCAAGACCCAAAAAAGTCTTGGATCGAATGAGGAAAGGTACTCACAAACTCCCAAAACTCCGATAGGAAAAAAGCCTGATGTTATGCTGATGGAGAAATGTAGCGGTAAAATTTTTGAAATTGCTTATGTTGAATCCTCACGTATCATCTGTACTAATTCGAAAAAAGATGATGATTCTGTAAAATTATGGAGAGAAACCCAGGATGGTATAAGCTTTGTCAATATCGCCTGTAGACTGTTAAGCAATCAATTTAGTATTGTTGGGATTCAGGTCGCCGGTGAAGAATTATATCTAAATGTTTTAGTGAAAGATACAAATGGGATACCAAGATATTTCCATCTTAATCAAGCCCAAGTACCTTTTTCAAAAGATACATCATGGCGTGTGGTACCTCTCGTTCATTTATTATTAACCTTAAGAAACATTACAATAGTAAACAAAAGCTTATTAATGCAGGCATTAGAGCAGGCCAACACACGTTCTCCACGAAATGTTAATCCAAGCCCTACAGTTTCCTCGCCATTAAATGATAATTAAGCATCGGACTATCATGTATTACCACATCATGTAATTTAGTGTAATTTAGCATAGGCCTATGTATTTTATTTTTCCCGTATCAATAAAGTGTCCTGGTAGCCGATTATTATTATTTTTACATTCATGTTTCTTCATGTGAGTTGACAAGTATCGGATAATAAAATTTTCTTAGTAAATTTCTTGGCAAATTTCGCTTACGGGCTGTGAGGGAAAATCACATGACCGATTGTTCCCTCAGGGAACTGTTTTTTATTTTTGAATATTAACATACTAATACTACATTACGCAAGCATGCAATCTGAAATAGATGAAACCCATTCATTGAAAATATGCATTGCCAGGCTTAAGCTCAAGAATGATAAAATTAAGGCCGAGAACAATAAAATTAAGGCCAAAAATCTTGAGCTTAAGACCAGAGTTGCAAAATTGGAAGATAAGCAATTGCAAAATGAAATGGTTAAAAACTTATTATCTGTATCACAAAAGACGTGATCATGTATTCTTGGCAAATTTCAGCTGAGGCACCCCTGCCAAAATCACGTGAATTTTTTGCCAATCAGAGTTTTCTAGCAGATCCCTATCTGATGTGACGCAATCTGTGATATTGGCGCGTAGCAAAGCACCTTCGGGGAAATTCTCAAAATTTTCTTATAAAATTTCTGAATCTATAAAATTCTCAAATTTTTTTATTAGTTACCTATAGTAACAATGACTGATATACTAACACCATCTTTTCACATATATTACTCAAAACAACTTAACCAGCTCTCTCATTCCATCAAAATAGATGTATGGCGACGTCTTACTTCACGAAAACATCCATTATCGATAGAACAGGCAAGTAGTATTCATTCTGAAGTGGAAGGTTTGTTAAATAAGGCGGTTGAAAATTATATTAAGCAAAAAGAGCGTCAAAAGATGAAGCCTATTACTAGTGACTGTAAAATTTCGTTAAGGCAAAAAAATGAGAAATTGTGTATATCAAAGCAGGTATTGGAAAAAAAGATTGAAGAACTTCTCGAATTGCAAGAGCAGTATAAGTCTCGTGAGGTAGCTATGATCAGGTTTTTGGAGGAGAGTGGCGAGAAAGTCACCCAATTATCAGATTCGGTAGCTTTATTCAAAAGTATAATTCCTGATACGAAGAAAGCTATTGCATTAGCAGAAAAGTCTATTGACATGTTAGAGAATAAATGCCAGCAACTGGAGGATATTATTTCTGCTAAGGACAGAAAAATTATCACTCTTACTGATAAGATCTCTTCTTACACAAGATATAGTGATATAAATATAGAACCAGAAATATATTCCAGTACTAAAGAAAGGAAATTATGGGTGAAGAGGCGTAGCGAGTCTGAATATGACCTAGAAGTCCAGAAAAAATATGCATTTCATCTCACTTCATCAATAGAATTGAGAGGATTCTATTCATTAGCTAGAGCACTTTTTTCAAGAATTTGGTCCTAGCTAAGGCGTATCCTGTGTGGATGTTCGCAGGGTACAGTTAAATCAAAAACAATGAATTTTTTCTCACATAATGCCTTATCAATAATCTTAATCACATTACGCCAGTCATTAGCATATTGACGTACAATTCTGACTAGTTCATTCGTAATGCATGACCCGTTAAATAGGCAGATATATGAGAGGTTTTTTCGTATTATTTTTGGGCAGTCAAAGTAACTCTGGGATACATATATCGAACTGTCATTATAATGGCACCCTTCAATAAAATAAGGAACAATTTTCTCCTGCACTTTTTTCGGATCAGCACACATATCTTCGAATATAGCCCCTGTACCTCTATCTGGAGAAAATAAATCCACCTTAGGGATTTTATCAGGCTTCAAAGTCCAGAATGTAATATCTTTACGATATGGCTTTAGACTATTTGCTATTATCTGGAATGCTGATTTGAGGTACATATATTTTGGCTTCTTGAGTTGGTGGCCGATGAGTAGCAAATCATCACACTTGATATAGCGTATCCCTCCTTTCTTCCCATTAAGCATTCGATAAAGCTTAGTTCCGAGCATGAGATTGATAACCTCATTACTTTTTCCTGTATTAGTACGGCCAAAGATTCCAAGCGTGAAAGGCCATTGAGGTGTACTGGAATTGCCATTATATTTTTGAGCATCTTTAATTTCATTAATATGATATACAAGCCTTTCAATTGGCTTAAGTTTCTTTATTTTCATGTCGAACTATCTTTTACTAATGATATACTAAAAAATATATTATGAAATTTGCGGGACCTGCGGTCTCAGAAAAATGCCAAGAAAATAATACTCTCTGATCTTACTGGAAAAACTATTCAAGAACCCTTTCTCGATTAGAGTATGTCTAATATACAGATATAAATCCGCTGTATGAGGTACTTCAATAAGGCATATACCTTGATCCTTGCATATATCCCGCTTCTTCTGATCGCACATTTTCTGTTCATCCAAATCTATCTGGCCTCTCCTATGAAACATTGAATTAAGACTATAGTGTTGCTTGCCATGAAATTCGAATCCTAGTCGTAACTCTTCGTTATATCCATCGAGTTGCATCTTATCCAAAAAAATTCGGCCTACATAATGGGAATTTCTTTCCTAACAGATCCTCAAAAATATATCAGCATTGGCGTTCATTGCTTCTATGGTGGCAAAGAGGACACCATTCGAATTTTTTCATGATATACTTTAATGGATACTCTCATTGATGCGCATCATTTTTACAAGACCAAAGATATACATTATGACCATTTATTTGCCCAGTTTTTCTAAGACATTGATCACCACACTTCATGGCATAATCCTCAGCCTGAACTGACTTACTAGAAGCATGAACATAATGGACGAATCCAGTAGGGTGGTATT